TGGGGGGGGGGGGGGGGGGAAAAAGAGGGGGGGGGTGGGACTCTGGAGCAGGGCCGTTTTTTTTTTTTTTTTTTTTTTTTTTGACGCGGGACTTAACCGCGCGTGAAGACCCCATAACTGGACTGCGGGCACACGGTCACATGGAACTCAGATTTACACTTGTTGTATGAAGTACAACCCGCTCAGATACAAAAAAGAAAGAAAGAAAGAAAGAAAATTCCTTTTTTTTTTTTCTTAACTTACCTCACTCATGTTGGAAGCGTGTGCGCGGTGCGAGTTGTGCGGCAGAAGTGGACTTCGGTCGTGTCTCCCAGTCCTTCAGACCACCGTGAAGAAAAAAGCGCCGGATAAAACTGTTGTCATGCAGGAGGGGAAAACCGCTGCGGACTCTCCGGGTCGGACTGAAGAAGATGCGGTTCTCTCTGAGGGACAGACGGATGCACTGCAGCTCTCTGGTGGCGATAAAGAGAGAAGGAGGATGCAGCGCGTGGAGCGGTGAGGTTTATGTGCAACAGCAGCGCTCTCTCTCTCTCTCTCTCTCTTTCTCTCTCTCTCTCGCTCGCTCGCTCTGTCGGTCTCGCGGTGTCGCCCACTCAGTCTGAAGCAGTCACCGGGGAGCAGCCTGATGCGCTCCGACACGGATGTTTATGGGCACAAAAGCCCAGATCATTCAACCTAGTTTAAGCTTCCATCAAGCAGCGTCAAGACACGCTTTATCCTCATGTTTACCTTTTACAGTTCAATAAACCAAGAGCATACAGGGATTACTTTACGTTTTTTTCCCCCACATTTCTTTGTTCTTATCCACCGTTTCAAAAATATATATATTTTTAGGCTTACTCATTAAAACCATTAGGGATGCACAAGAATGGTTTTATTTTCAGTTTTGAATCCTCACATACAGTAGCAACAACTTTTAGGAAGCTAAAGACCAACAATGGTGCATGGCTTCACATTTTCTATACAGTGAAAAAAATGGGAAAAGAGAAGTTGTTAATATTGTAAAAATAAGCTGTGAAAGTCTCGTGTTTTCTCTGTGCTGCTTCTCTAAACATGATTCTGTCCTGAAATCCTTGTAAATGCTCTTGTGAAAATGACATGTTTGAATTATGACCACAAAACATGAAATGGTTGAAAATCTCCACCTGCTTTTTGAAATAAACATTTCCCCTCCCCCTGCTTTCGCCACTAAAACAACTTTTACTGCAGTTGAAGGAGCCATTTTGTAATTTGTGCTCTGAACTTTAGGTTCAAAATCGGCAAGTTGAAACAACTAAGACATAAGGCATAATATATGTATTTCTAATTTAAAAAATAAAAATACTTAAGCTTTTTAATCTTTTTACACACTCAGCAATACATTAAACATACAATACTTTTAACGCAACAAAGTAGAAAAAACACATTATTGTAAGTCTGAAAAAGGGTTTCCAAATGGGTTTGCTTTAATTAAAGAAGGTGGCTGATTCCGAGCATTTTGGGTCAGATATGTTCTATTTTGTTGGATTAGAAAATGCTTTTAGTCTATTCCCAATATTTCATAAATTTGTCAATGAAAATAAAATTTTAAACAATTTGAGTTCATCATTATCAATGTATGACTTCCATCCATTCATCCATCCATCGTAGTCATGGTGGGAGGGCAGGGCTGGCGTCTATCTAATATTTATTCGTAGACATCCTTGATGCATTTTATTTTTCTCCTATGTAAATTTAATCTGCTGATCACAAGCAGGATCCACTGAGCATTAAGCCACTTAGAATGAGAGCTACTAAACACACATACAACCAGACTTACAATAATGGCGCATTTAAAATAACCTAAATGTGAATTTTAACATAGAGCAATTTAGCTTTTCCCTGATTGTACCCAGATCTAACAGCGTTCATTATTGAAATGAGTAACAATTTTCACCTAAAAGGAGACATTTAAAATAATCTTAAGTAATTACATGCAAAACCAGAATAACTTAGAATAACTTAAAGTGTATAATAGCATAAGAAAAGGACATAAATCTGTAATGGAAAGGTGGAACGTGATGCCAAAGGACATCACAACACAATATAGGATGCCAAAGAAAACGTTCACCCAAACGACCTGGATTTGAGCGGTACTGTAGAAATCTCTACAAGGTACAAAGTTAAAGAGATGAGAAGAAAAAACAATTTGTCTGCATGTCCTAGTGGGGATTTGTGTCTTGTAATCTAAATGTACCAGTACTGTATGAAGCGATTATATTAAGTTATTACATATTAGAATCTGCTTCCTAAAACTGTGGGCACAGCTGGTCAACACTGTTGTCTCCAGGCAACAAGGTCCTGGGTCTGAATCCAGACCGGGTTACAGATAGATGGATGGATTGATGCCTAGAACTAAAACTTTTCAAACATATTACCCAATATCTCCACTAGATGGTGCTATTGTATTTCTGGACATTTTTAGATACCCCAAACATTTGAATTTGAATGCTGCTAGATCGCTTGTGGAGTTAAGTATAAGACAATAAATTGGTGTACATGAACTTCTGTTACATTTGTAAGTTTTCAAACCCTCCAACCCTGAAAAGAATTACATGAGTGTAGAAGACCATAACATAAACCCCAGGTTACCTCAGTCTGAGTCGTAAACATGATGTGTGTTTGGTATCCTAGTCTAATTGGAACACCTAATTCTAGCCAAGTTTCCTTTATTTATCTGTTGGTTTGACTGAAAGTTGCAGAATTCAGTGCTGGTCTTTCACTTTCAGGAACTCTGGCAATGAAACTGTCCCACGGCATGATCCTTCCATCACCGTGCTTGACCCTTGGTTCTGCATTCTTGAGGTTTAATAGTCTTACTTTGAGTCCCCTTCCAAAATTTGTCTTCTCATTTGTCTTATTTCTGTAGAAATGTGTGGGACTTGACATGGACGCAGCTCCAAGTTGCAGTCCAACTTAATGGCATCCATTTTGTAGCTGGTGCTCAGTTCTTCTCCTGGAATGTTTGAGAAATCCTTTAATCTCCATGGCAACCGTTCAGCTTTGCAAAACACCTGGGTGAACCTAGCTCCACCTTCGAGGCGCAGCTCCCCCTCAGAGCTGAATTTTCCAAGTTACCAAACTTCTACCTCACAGAGCAGCCCTCCACCAAGATGTCCCCACTCAGCTCCTTCAGACTAGTGGCAGCAGCAATTATTAAACACCTGGAGGAATTACACATCATTATATGAGCTACTTCTCATTGCAACACTGACAAAGACATTGTTCAAGGATTAATAGAGGAGTACTGTTGTCACTACTCTCTGAAGGAGTTTCAGAAACAGCAGGAGTTTTTAAAGTGATAGAGGCCCATTTTCAGGGTATTAAATTACAAAGTCAAATTTCTTTTAAGTCTTAATTATAGCATTTTTATTTTAACTAAATGTAACATAGCTACTTGATTGTGCAATAAATTTGCCAATACATGTGCCTAGAAAATACATAATGGTTCCCCTTTAAGACTTCTTTTTCACAGTCCATGTTTCATGTGGGGTAATCACTGTTGCGAATCAATGTCAGCTTAGCATGTCGTTTGGATAAAACTCTACGGGGGACTTGAGCAATCTTGTTTCAGAAATGCCACAGACTAGAGATTAGCTCCAAAACTTATCTTCCATAAAGTTCTGTACAACAGTAATGATATTTACTACTCACAACATCTTAACTGAACCCTAGTCCTGCAAATGTGGAACTATCCCTTTAAAGAAAACCCCTCGAGTTCTTTGTCGTAACAACGAGTCACATTGATACCTGCAATGAAGACAGAAACAACTGCAGCAAGCAGAAGCCTTCAATTTTCTTGTTTTACATGCAACAAATACATAAGGTTGCAATCTAGCATATGTCCACATGAGGGCGCTCTTCTCTTCCAAGTCCAAAGTAACACTTTCTCAGCAATACACCCAGCATTTAAACATACAGGGTAATCAGATCTTTATGTTGAAACCTGTCAAAGGTGTTAAAAGTAAAAATCTAAAAATCTGGGTAGATATGCATAAAAAAAGACAGATTTTATTATTTTTTTCCATGTTTTTATTTCTAATGTGTTTCTTATTTTTTTTCCATTTGTCCACAAAGTTATATTAGTCACTACTATGTTAGGTCAGTTTTTCCCTCACTGCAATGGCAGTCAACTACACAAGAGCCCAAACTTAGCGTGGCCCCCTCACCTCATGAGAGATTTGTCATTTCAAGGCAATAGTTGATTAAAAACAAAACAAAAAAAAAAGACAACCTTATCGTAAGACCAGGAGATGAGAGATGAACCTTTTAGAAGTGTTAGATATGATTACTTTAGGAGAATTTCGTCCACATGAGCAAGATAATAAATTTAAATTGAATAATTTTCACTTCTTTTTGAAATGAGTAGTAATATATATATATATTTTTTTTGCATGAAATGCTCTTAAAAAACGGAATCATGCACATAAGATATGCATAATTGAACACATACAAACCAGGATTAACAATTTAATACAATTTTATCTCAAGAAATATGTTTTTCTAATAATTTAGCTCCTAGTATGCGACACACATCTTTTTATTTTGCAGGGTTTTTTTAAAGCATAAAGTTTACCAAATTTTTTTATGGTTCTCTCAGATCAATAAACTTCAGCAGCGTCACTTTGCCTCCATCAATAAGTCATAGTGACAGGACCATTGTCTGTAGTACAATGATTGGCCGGCAGTTTTATTCCCATATGCCAGTGGGAGGAGCTGAAGGGGCCATCGCTGGAGTTTGTGCTCTCTTAAAAAGAACAAAAAAACAAAACAAAACAAAAAAAAAAAAAACAAGAACCCAAAACAAACAAAAACACAACATCTCTAGAGCTATCTGTACAACATTCAACATCACATTTCTTTTTTTTAACCATAATGCCAAAAACAATAATACTTATCATTATAAGAGCATTTTTCCATCTCGACGGCATTGAACAAACACCACACAAACAGAAAGGAGAAAAAAAAAAACTCTAATAAAGGCCTCAATACCAGATAGTACACGTCACCTTCGAGTGGTGCTAGAGACTGATTTATGGACGAGAGAAGGACGTGGAGGAAGAGCAAGCAGGGGGATGGAAAGAAAACGGAATGGAAGGGACAAAGATCTGTAAGTTGTCCTCCTTTCTCAAGCGTTTGTATCTTTTTAGTGTCGCATTGGACATGTTTTGGCACCTCATGATGTTTAAAAAAAAAAACATCGTTCAAGAATCAAAGACTTTGGGGCTTTGGTTTACCAAGGATTAGTATGACGACTACAGGTAGTCTCACTCTACAGCTACAGTCATTTTTTAAAAATCACCTAGGGCTTACTTAGAAAGTTTGTAATTTTTTTTATTTTTTAAATTTTTTTAGAGTCGGGGTTAAAATTGAGGCCCAGTGGCCTTGTTTAAGGCCCAACGGGCCTGATGAGCAGGAGACGCTGGCACGAAAACAGCTCTCCACCGGAGAGAACGGCCGGTCGGGAAGCAAAGACATGGGAACGAAAGAATAAAGAAATAAGCCAGTGTGATGAAGGGAATGAGGGATGATAAAAGAAGGGAATATGAACAGAGAGGAAAAAATGGGAAGAGAGGAGCAAAAGTGTGATATAGGCTAAGTGCTTTTGGTGAGTTTTACAAAATACACCAGGAAGTGCTTGAAACAGAAGGCACGGTGGCATTGATAGTAGTTGTAAAGGAGACACCACTAAGGGACTTTTTCACTACGAAACTCATAAGGTGCTCTAAAAAAATCAGACTCCAAACACATTAATGCACATTAAAGTGTGGTGGCAGTAACTCTAGAAGGACTCTTGTGGCACATTTTCAGAACCAATGTTAACCTAATCCAAACCATTTAGTACACACAGTCTGTACGGAGCCACCAGATACCACTGGAGAACATTCTGAACACAGCTAACATGTAGAAGGGCAACGTCGGAAGTGTTTCCATCACTAAATGTTTTCAGAACAGCTTTCCATATTGGCATATATGCTGGTGTATTGAGAAGCACTTGTTTAAGTCTAAAAATATGGGAAAAGATAGAGATTGTGTGGAATATGAAGTTTTGTGGCATATTTATTTCTGATTCACTCCAGTCATCAATAATGCACGTGTTTTGGGATCAGTGGTGTGGAATTCACAGTGTTCTGCTGTTGCAGGGAGTGGCTAAGTTATTTCTGCTGTGACATGAGAATTTTTTTCATACTTATGCATACATTAAAGATATCTCAAAGGTCTCACAAAGTCCTCTGATACTTAGATAAATTAATCAGAATGTAGGTCAGCAGCCGCATTTACCATAAAATTGTGCAAATTAAAATAGCAAAAATACATTTGCTTCAAGGAAAGCACAGGACTAAAAAGAAAAATTCACATACTTTGATAACGTTTTAGTGCTGAAATGAGGTGGTTTTTCAGCAGTATCAAAATAGATGTATTTCAAGCAACTGTAATGGAAACATTTTTGTTCGCATCACGCAAGTTGCGTGATCAACAGCTGGATGTTACTCCTGGCAGAAATGACAAAGAAGACGAATAGGAAGTAGCAGGAGGAAGATGGTTTGTTCTTCAAGGTTTTTTTTGGACAATGCGCAACTGGCTCCACCATAACTATCACAACTCATCAAAAGCTCTTCTGTACAATCTTACACTACAACTTCCCCAAAACGTGTCGTACATCGCTGCTCCTGAGAGCTTATTGCTCCAACAACTGAATAAGAAGCCACTTACAGCTGTCGCAAAATTGTTTTTTTCCTTTTTCTACAAAAATTTGTGCACATTTATAACAGAGACACAGATATTAGTTTTAAGCATCCATAATCCAACAGTTCCACATTTGCATAGAGAGTGAGTTTATGTGTAGATATGATTCGGTGATTGCCGTGACATCAGAATTGCAGCTGCTTCTGTTGCCGTGTATACATCACATGTTGGGCCTGCAACACATGAGCAGTGGAAGTCTATCAAAATCTGTGGCAGTCTGGAATATCTGGTGATCAAAATCTATCCTCTACAGCGTCAAATGTGTAGTAAAACTAATACTGTAGCATTATTTTCTCATGGCAGTGTGTCATCATGAGCCACTGACCAACAATATTGTTGTAAGAGACTTAACCAAACAGTGGGGTTTCTACAGATGCTATGCATTTTTGCAAAAACTGAATCTGTAAAATCTGGTATAGTACAAATGAGGACTTTAAAGTCATGTTTCATTGGGATGTACAGTCAGTTGATATGTATAGTTAAATTACATTACTTTAGGCAAATTAATGTGTGTTGTCAAGCTAAGCTTTGGCAGTACAGGGCCCTCAAGTAGATTTTGCTGGGCAATTCCCACGCTTGCAATCTTGTGCTTTTCACATTTTCTTGTTTCATAATCCAGTGTTTCTGCTGAGATTTGTCAGTGTTTTGTACCAACAGTGTGTCTTTTTGTATCCACATTGGGTACATTTTGTACCAGATATAACCACTGGTTGTTTTAGTAATGTTCTGTATTGTTCTCAGTGTTTACTATAAATAAACACTGAGGTTATGTGATGTTAATTTAAGCTTAAGTTAACCCACACAGCAATCAGGAACACAATAGATAATGGGGTGTAATATGAAATTCACAAAAAAAAGCAATAAATATTTTGTGAGTACTATTTATGTTCATACTTTATCAAAAAGTTAAACTACCTAGATACATCACTGACACGGGAGTACAGAATGGACGTATGAATTAGCGAAGGAACAAACTGACCCCATTACATACCTAGATTTAATGTTGCATGTATTAAAAAGTACAGCTAAAATAAAGTTTATCATTTACTCGGATTCTTTGGTTTTTATTCTTAAACTGTAACAACTGTTTTGTCTGAAAAGTTAAAAGTGTGAAATTAAAATTGTCACATCAAAGATTCCATGGAGAGGAAGCAAGCTAGTGCTAGCATCCTAGCTTCTTTTACTTGTAATGTTGCATCAACGTTAAAAGATGTAGCTAAAATTAAGTTTATTTACTTCCTTTTTTTGTTTGATGTAAAACTGTAATAGTTTATCCGAATTGTTAAAGGGTCAAAGATTAAAACAGTCGCAATCAAAGATTCCACAAAGAGAAAGCAACTAGCATCAGCATATTAACTTCTTGCATTTGTAAAGTCTTAGTTTAAAAGCGTAGCTTAAATAATTTATTCATCTTCTTTTTTTTAAAAAAAAAAAAAAAAAAAAGTAAGACTGTAACAAGTAACCAGGACCAGTTGTTTTAAATGTTAAAAAAGTTACAGCTAAGTTTTCATAAAGAGGACAAAAACTAGTATTAGCGTTAGCATCACGAAGCACATCAGCAGAAGACAGGAGATTATCAGACCTTTTAGAGGTATGTGTGGAAACAGATATGCCTGACGATGCCCTCTAAATGTATAATGTGTTTAGAAAATTCTCTAGAAATATCTGGTAGTGCTACACAAATTTTGACTTACATGTGTACTAATGCTAATGCAGACTGACACTGCCAACAACATAAACATTTGTTCTGATATCACTCCACAAGCCTTATACCCCATCAAATAACAAAAGTCGACATCAGCCAGTGCCGTCTACTTTTATTAGCCATAACTTCAAATCTCTGGGGTACTTTATTTTTTTACTAGATAGTCTTATTTATATCTTGAGCTCTAATTACGCTTCGCAACAGTTTGTTAATTGATGGGGTAAATCTACTCAAGCCACACACTTACACATTTAAAATGACAACAAAAACTGCCATTGGAAAAAACAAAAAGTTTGGTCTATCGATAGTCAACAAAAAAACAACTACTTTGGGAACTCAAACCTTGCACAGTGCTCTGTATAGACATTCCAACTAGTCTTAGCTCACAAACATTATAATCAATATTACCTATATTGATAACCTTTTTCTGTAAGCATCTTGAAATGAAAATAAACAAAAGTCTGTGGGTTTTTCTTTTCTTGTCTTTACAAAAGCTACACATATACTACTGGGATGTCTAAGCATGTGTTAGTGTTTTAATAATTATTCCTACCGTTGTCTTTTCGGGGATTTTTTTTTTTTTTTTTTTTACAGAAAAGAAAGAAGAGAAGGACTCTAGTTGTCCAAAAGTCACCATATCCCAAAAGTACAGCTTATTTCTCGGATTTTGTCTTGTCTGGTAGCAACTTTGTATTTATTTCTCATTTTCAACCCTCTATTTTTGACACAGTTCTTTTTAATACAACGTGCCAGCTGATTGTGGAAGAGGGCTCAGTTTCCCCCCTACAGCCCTCAAGTCCTTGATTTATCATTTGTTCAGCACAACGGACCACAACCCAGTTAGTGCTGAAAACACTGAATTCTAAACTGTGCCCCTTTTCTATCTCGTAGTCTTTAAACATCTTGTCATTGCCTACTTTTTTTTTAAATTCCTTTTGAAAAGAACCACAAACCGGCTACAGTCTGTGTCAAGAACATTAACGCTATGATGTAGCATTTCTTTTACAACTATTCACAACACCCTAGAACCACTTTAAACAAATATATTGTATTTAAATCATTTGAAACTGTATATTCCGATAAAATTAGCGACCTATGCGAGACTCGGACAACGCCAGAGACTCTTTTGACAACATACATGAACAGGCACTAACTGATTACAACAACAACAAAAAAAAATACAAACTTTTCTTTCAGATAAGTTTTTTTAGGACAGTAATCGATAAACACAGCTGAAAAACAAGGCAGTGATACACAGTCGAGGAAACGGTCACCTCATGCCTTAAATTAATGTCAGATAGCTTAAAACTTTCTGTGGATTGAGGAGGAAGATGAAGCTGACAGTCTCAAACTGTTCAGTGGTCATTCTGTAGAGTTACCTGTTCAGCTCACTCAGTGTAGTAGTCAGGAATACACTGCTTATACAGCAGTGCGTCAAAGTTTGAGATTCTGGAATGATCCTAGACCCTTAGCAGATGTTTGTTGAATAGAATATCATCTCAAAAAGCATCAACCTTGGGCTTTTTCTTGGGGCGGGTGGAGAGGGACAAATACAAAAGGTGGCCTACAAAAATCCTGAAAAGTTGTGTCCATGCTCCTTTGAGATTACAGGAATATTAGTGTATGTTGTAGAGGATTAAGCAGTCACAAAGATAGTAGACAAGTCATACCAGAGGGAATATTAAAGTAGCACTTTTTCCCTCCGTTTTGCGGAAACATTAATCTTCAAGACTCTTCACGTGTTCTCATAAATTAAACTATGAAGGGATGCCTTTTTGCATTATTTCTTGTCTGTCACATGTACAGCTGAAACTCCCTCTGTCTCTTTCTTTTAACCAGTTAGGACCTTGTCATCCTCCGCTGCCATGTGGTTGGGGCTCAGAGCTGGTGAAAGGTCGAGGGACATCCTCAGATCCCGATCTTGCAAATCCTCCACACTGCTGCTCTCCATGTTCTCTTCAAATTCCTCATCGAGTTCTTCTTTCTCCTCCTCCGTCTTTTCCTTGACAGCTGGGCTGTCTCTTACATTCTTGGGCACTGAAGCCACAGAGTCTTGACGATAAGACACATTGTCCAGATGATCTGCTGTATCCTCAGGGTGACCATTAGTGATCTGGTGCTGAGTTGAAGACCAGTGCCCCACAGGGACTGGAGAGTCTCTCTCACTCACATGCCTCCATAACGTCAGAGGATCGATGTCGGAGTTATCCATCCGTGGCTTGGTGGCCCTTTGGGCGCGTTCATTATCCAGGAGAGCAGAGGAGACCCTCTTGCGCCTAGACTTACTTGTGTGGTTTACTTGGATATGCATGGCCATCAGCTCAGCTGATGACGTATGAAAAGGGCAGAACAAACACTGGCTCAGTTTGACCCCTGCTGAGCTATCCCTCCCACCATCAACACCAAACACAACTCCTCCATCCCCGGCACCAATGCTTTCATTGTCTTCCATCCCTCCATGGCTGGGCGAGGTGCGACGGGAAAGATCCAAAGGTTCAAACCCTCCCTCCTGAGTTGATGGCACAGGTTCGTCCTTGTCACTTTGTGGCTGAACCATTCGACTAGTAGTGAGAGGCTTACGTCGGGATACTTTAGTAGTCTTTGGTGGGGGGGATCCCCTAATCCAGTTTCCCTCCATTCCTCCTTGGTACAGGGCCCCCATAACTCCAGACAGATACCTGTACTGGGTCTCCAAGTCGACATCCCTTAGAGCTGCCAGAGCCTTCCGATGTTCCCGTTGGTCTGGGAGGCCCAGGAGCCAAGACTGCTGGCTGGACCGTGAAACGGTTGTATCAGCAGTGCCTCGGTTGATCGGGCCGTGGTTGAGCTGAGATCGGCGCTGCTTGACCAGTCCAGGGGCTCCAGATGTGTGAATGCTGGAGGTGGGCCCAGAGGAGGAATTGGAGGAAGCTGATAAGGCATTGCGTTGCTCCCTGTGGTGCCGCTGGAGGTGGTACTTCAGTGACCCAGACTGAGTGCCTGCATAGTCACAGTGGGGGCATTTGTAGGGTCTCTCACCTGCAGAAAAAAGAGTACGTCAAATCAGACTGATTACATCTGGACATATGTAACATTGACCACAAGTCTCAGGCCCTGTTCACATGTAGACAAGATTAGGTTTATCTTGGCTGTATCCACAAAGGGATTTTGTCATTTAGGCTGTGCGTTCACACGTATCCGGCATTTTGGGAAACCAGAAACAATTATTTTTGAAATCGGGTCCCAGACTAGATACATTTCAAAGCTGCGGTTTTATGTTTCCATGTGGCCAAAAAGCTGCGTCTTCTTTGAAACTGTGACATAGACACTTCATTGCTCTCTGTATGCAGCATTCGTTTGTGTGAACGGACATTTGTTCTTAATTACTTATGGAAATTTACCGCATGTTTGCATGTGGACAGCATGTCTTTCACTAACTGAAAAAGCCAAACATAGAAGTGGACAAAAATAATGCAAAATCACAAATAATACAAGTTAAGTGTGATGTCGGCTCACACAGTGCCTACCATCTTGTTTTACAAACATGTTTATCATCTTGTATTTAATTGAACTTTGAATTTCAGAGCAGATTATTTAAATAAAAGCAAGTTTTTAAAAATATTTTTGTAATTTTTCATTCCTGGTGGATCTCTGCAGCACCTCCAAAGTCTAGTCTAGTAACTGGGTCTAACTCCTTTTTGTTGGTGAATCACATAAAATATGAATAAAATACATAAATAAATAAGTTTGTGGTTGTAATGTGACAAATGTGACAAAATGTGAAAAGTTCAAGACATATGGAGCAGTGAAGCTAACGCAGGAACAAGACCTCACTAGGTGGATACCCTTAGAGTGCAATGTTAGTGCAGCTAAGGGTAAATAAGTGCCACTGGGTTACATTTTATTGGTGTGCAGTGGGAGCTGTAGTTGCAGAGTTTGAAGGTAGATGGCAGTGTTCCATTACAGTAAAAATACCACAGCTGGTTGTATCAGAGGCTCATGTTGCTTGTCAACAGCAGGAAACCTATTGCATATGAAAAGTGCAAAAGATCTTATCCACAACATAAAAAAAGCTGAAAATTAACAGATTGTCCTCTCACGATCGGACTCTGCTGTAGAACGGTGAGAATACTTTGAAGAACTCACAGAGTGCATTTTGGACTGATTGAGATTGATGGAGATCTCGCAAATGGACAAGATGGTGTTTAATTTTAATGAGATGTATGAAGCACAGGAAAATATTAATAAATGGCCACGGACAATCTAACAGTACTAGGGAGGCGCTGCAAGAGAGGCCAGGTTCTTCCTTTTGATGTCATCATTTTCTTACCAACAAGTGTATTAAGGTCAGCATGTGGTGCAGTGTTAGATTTGGGAACACCAGACATGGAGTCTTTAACGCATCCACCAGGGGTTGGATTGCTAACAATAACACTGTTGCTGTATTTCTTTTTTTCTCTGCTTTTTTTCTAATTATGCTCAATAAAGACCACTAGCAGCAAGAAATATTAAAAAGATATATTTTTATTAACTTGCATTCTTGTTATTTTAGTGTTAACTCCAAACTGGGACTGAACGCTATATTGCATTGCAAAGGTTTTCTTAAGCCTTTAATTCTTTCACATTTTGCTATGTAGCAACTTCAAGTTTCAACATATTTTATGAGATGATTTTTATGAAAGAACACAAAATTGTAACGTTAAAGAAAAATCACATTCTTAGTCACAATTCTTACTGATTTGATAAACATCAATTGATTTTTTTTTCTTTTATTAATAAAAATCTGAAATATACATAGTGTAATTTTGCTCAGGTCCCTTCACTCTACTCTTCAACAAAATCCAGTGAACAAAGTTGAACTTGTTGACCTACATAGAAAACCGCTGTCTCTAGAGGAAAACTAACACTGCACAGCGATTTCAACACACCATCCCCTCAGTGAAACATAATGGTGGCAACATCATGATGTGTAGATTATTTTCAACAACAGTATTGGAAGTTGATTGAAACTCAGATGAAGCTAAATGCAGCTCTGAGAGTCTCCAAAAGACTTGTGATTGGGGAGGAAGTTAACCTTCCAGCAGCAAATCAAATCTAATCATAAAGCCACAGCAGCAACTTACTGGGTTAGCTCAAACCTATCAAAATCTTAGAATGGCCAAGTTAAAGTTCACACCCAACCATGACTGAGAAATTGCTCCCAGTCCCACTCCTTTAATCTTCTTGGCTTGATTAAAGTTTATGTTCACGAATTCAACCCTTCCAATCTGACTGAGTTTGGGCAAACATTTCAATCTTTGATGCAAAGTTTGTTGCGTCTTGGCATTATGCTAATTTGTGTTGGTCTATTACATTCAATTCCAACAATATACCTTGTAGTAATTAGTTGTAACAATAAAAAATGTGAAAGTTTATCCCTTAACTCACCCCAAAAGCTCCTTCTGCCACTCACTCGCTCCCTGGTGGGAACTGAGGGCATGGAGGAGACTGCTGATTTCATGTTATCTAAATGGCTCCATGAGGACACAAGAGTCCTCTTGACAGAGACGGGGTTAAAAGAATCTTTTGATAACCTTGTAAATCACTGTATGTTGATGATATACATGTGACTCCAATCCATTCATACTCTGCTACAAACAGGTTTAATTTTTGTCCTTTATTAGACTGAATTGTTTTAAGTTCCTCATGTAAACCAGCATTGTTTGTTAGAATTATGTTTATCATTCTTACATTTGTAATTTTATGTTACTAGTTATTTTTCTATTTAGAAGTTTAGTGTTCAAATTTGTTGAAACTGTGGAGACACAATTAAATCTTCCTTAATCTCAAGCATGTTTTTACAGATGGTGACTTAGATCTTCCTGGGATACTCCTGAGCTGTAAACCTATCTGTGTGTTAATTAAATTTCTGTGTCCCCCTTCTTTGTTTCTGAATTCACATCCTACTGTGAAGATAGGATGTGGGGTTTCACCCCCTCCATTCCTTTTCACACCCTTCTTGCTAATAAAAGAGACAAACAAACTGAAGGTTTTCAGAACACATGGTGAGCGGCTTGGAGAAGCAGTTCACTGTGTCTTCTCCTTCTGCAGAAGTTTGGTTGAAAACTCATATACGTTGTCTGTGGTTCTTTTTTATGTAGGTTTGAGAAAATACCTCTCATTGTTTCAATCACCGGTCATAAAGTCTATATTTGTCTGACCTTGCAGTGGAGATGAGGGTGCACGCGAGTGAGAGAAGTGAGCTCCGTCTCGCTTTTAAATCCCCAGCATGGCTTAATTTTCTCTTCAGAAGCTACTGTTAATATGTGCCCGAGCTCTCCTCCTGCGCAGGAGTAGAGCTCCAGAGGAGCCGCTCACTTGCCTGCAGTAGAGATCTATGATTAGCACTGGTCAGCTCTCTGGAGTCAATGTGTGGAAAAATAAAGAGGTAGTTCTGAAAACGAGACAACACTCAAGAAACCTTTCCAGGGATTTCTAGAGGTAAAAAAAACAGAGAAAAGTGGCTTATTAAGCCCACAGCTGCGTCTCACCTGTGTGAACTCTCAGGTGCACTTTGAGATGGTGGGAAGAGCGGAAGGCTTTGCCACAGTAGGGGCAGTCTTTTATCCCTCTGCCACGCACTCGCTCCCTGGTGGGAACTGAGGGCATGGAGGAGACTGCTGTGAAGCCGTTTTCTCCTGCGAGTGGAAAAAAAGGAAAACAAAATGTTAGCATAACAGTTTTCACTGAAGAAATAGGTATTATTTACTACAGTAGAACTATAGAAGAGAAAATTACACATAAGGTGTGAACAAGCAAACAGCAGAGAACAAAAAGAAGACAAGAAAACAGATGTGATACCTTTGAAGTTTGAAATAACAGAGTGAAACCCTGTGACTGCTCCTGCTTGCTGAGATACACTACTGTTCAGTTTTGATTCCTGTCTTCCGTCTCCCATTTGCTGAGATCCACCACCGTGAAGTTGGGATTCTGGTCTTACATCACTGCTGCCGCCTCCTCTTCCCAACCCCACTCCTCTTCGAGTACCAGCCCCCTCTTCTTCACTGGTGCCACGATTCTGCGGCCTCTGAGCATGGACGCGAGCATGCACAACCACCTGCTGCAGGCTGCGGAACAACTTTCCGCAGTCCGGGCATTCCCAAGGCCCTCCAGCTCCTCCCGACTCTCCTCTGGGATCTAGGCCTGATCGGTAGACCCTGATTTGGTCTGCTTCTGTGATCACTGAACTTCGACCTGGGGCTCGCTGACCTTGCTGCTGCCCTCGCTGCTGTGGTCTCTGCTGCTGCTGCTGCTGCTGCTGCTGTGAAACAGCCAGGCTGCGAGCAACCAGCTGCCACCAAGTTGCCTGATCCCCTCCTTCTGAAATAGCTGATGTGGTTTCACTTGTGCCACCTCCTCTGGATGTTCCCCCTCCTCTGGTGGGGTCGCCACCTCCACTAATACCTCCACCACTGTTTCCCATCTCTGCCACCTGAGCTGCTGCTTGAAGTCTTTCCATGCAACTGGCCCCGCTGCCATCACTGGGCAAGCCAAGGTATCCCAGGATAGCAGACTTGCTTAAACTCATGTCGATCCTACCCCCAGTTTCTCTGTCAGACCTTCCCTGTCCACCTCTGGCTCCACTTCCTCGGTGGGCCATGAGCAGGCTTGAGTACAGGGAGTTGAGTGTGTGCGTACTAGCAGAACCCTTTGACTGCTGCTCAGCATTCCCGAGAATACCATGGGTTCCTAATCCAGCTTTGAGGCCAAGCTTGTTAAGATGAACTTTCATGTGGTTCTTGAGGAACCAAGGCTCCTTAAAGCCACGTCCACACACCTGGCACTTATGATCTAAGGAGTCCTTGTGTTTTCGCATGTGTCCCTTCAGAAACCAGGACTGCGTAAATCTCTGGCCACAAGTATCACAGCGAAATGCTGGCACTGAAGAGGATGCAGAGATTCCAGCAGCCGATGAGATCTGAGCGTTACCTGGGGTCGGGGCGGGAGTATGGGTTGGGGTGGGCACTGGTGTGTCAATGATGGTCCTGCAGTTGAAGGCTGTTGTCAAGGCCGACACCTCCGGGGAGGGGTGACACTCCTGTAAGTGAGATGCCAGACTCTCTTCTTGGCTGGCAGAGAAAGGACAAAGGGTGCATTTGTACGGGTTGTGGAGGATGCGGACGTGGCGTGCCAGTTCTGAAGCTGTGCGGAATTTTCCCTTACAGGCATGGCAGCGAAACGTAGGTGCTGTGGCAACAGACGAGCCCTCGCCAGTAGAGGAATAAGGGGAGGTTACAGATACAGGATCTTCTGTGAGGGGTGGGGTCAAGGGTGTGCTGTCATCCAATAAAAAGTTTGGGTTCTGGTCTGGCTTCAGATCATCATCTAGACCTTTGTCCTCTCCATTGACATCCTCCTCCTCCGTGAGGTGCTGGATTAGAGTTTTTGGCAGTAAACGCTGATTTGCACGACTTCTGTGATTGGAGAGCAAATCTTTGTGATTCTGATGGATTTTGAGATGTTGCTTAAGGGAAGATGAGGGGGGTCTAGTGCGGTACAGCGATGCAGCTCTTCGTTCTCGGTCCAAACTATGTGCTCGAGCATGAAGAGACAAGATGCTTTGGAATCTAAATCTCTTCCCACACACATGACAGGGAAACTTGAGTGCAGGCCCAGGCGAGGCCCCTCCAGCTCCAGGTGTTGCCCTGGTAACAGTTTCCTTTTGGAACAGTTGAAGATCTAGCTCATCGCTGCAGTTTCCACCCTGTCCTGAAGAAAGGGCCAACTCAAGGGCACCGTAACCAAGAAAAGGAGCTGACGGTGTGTCTGGTGGGGAGGAATCCAAACCGGGGTTGCATCCCGCATCTTGAGCGCTTCCTCCTGGAAACAAAGCTACTGCTGGGGTCGGAGATGGAGGAATTCCATCTAGCTCTTCTTCGCAATCTTCTCCCTCAAGATCAAGGCAGTCATTATTGTTGACCTCTTGTAGAGGGAAGGGAGAGAGGGGAAAATATGGTGTGGTGTCAGGGCTCTGCGGGGAAGGTTCAGGGCTGGGGATCGGCAGGACAACGGGGCTGTCGGGTAGAGGAGAGGAGGCTTGAGGGCTGTGGTCAAGAGATGGCAGCGTTTGGGGAGACTGTGGCTGCTCACAAGCAAGAGACAACACACACTCTGGTGGAGAATCCATCCTCTATCATTGAAAAGATAAAGACAAGCAGAAGTCAGGCAATGATTGAATGAAATATCATTGAACTTACTGTTTTTAAATCACTAAAATAGTTAACCCCTCCTGGACTACGATCAATTTTCTGCTTTCAAAAAAACACATTCTAAAAGTGTCCATTTGAGGACAACTGTACATACATACATCCTGTCTCGAAGGGAGGGGCAGAAACTTACTAGCAGTGTGTTTGGTGTTATGCCATTCTTTAGTGTCTCGGCCTAGGGGGGAAACACTTCTGAGGCAGCCTCCTTCTATAATTTCCTGGGGACAACATAAACAAATAAACTTAATCAGTGAACAGGAAGATCCAACACAAATATCTCAATATCAAGCTTAAAAAAAAAACATTTTTGAACATGAGTTTCTGTTCAGCTCCAAAATTTCATGCAGACTTGTATTTTAGTAATAATCTAACTAAAAGCCTAATGGTAAATTTGTACAAGTGTAAGAGGAAATGATTTGCAATACTGAGCATCAAACCGTAGGATTTTTTTTTGTCCCTTTCTTGTTGAACAGGATTAAAAGCAATTTGCATCGAAGACACTTTGAACACGTTCCATCATCATTTTCCAACGACAAAACAAACGACATGCATGCTCGCTGGTTTTAAAACCACGTTTTAACGTATGTACATAAAAAGAAACCCGTCACTTGATCTTCATTTACTCCTCAGCCTGCGTGGGTGTGAGAACGTGCGCCTCAACGCGTAACAGGTGTGCACCTGTTCATTTCCTCCTACATGTGTTCGTGGGATTCTCCCGCATACTGTCAGCACATATGGGACGATTAGCCGGAGTGTGACTGCGCACCGGTGTGCATTTATGTGTGTGTGTTTAGAAGTTAAGGGCACCACGGCAGGACATGGAGTGTCCCAAACAGGATGGGCGCGCAATGTTTTGACTTCCCCACACACCCTTCCTGTACACACATACAGTAGCAGCTTTTTCTTTTTTTTCTGCTTAAATCAGGATTCTATACACAGGGAGCATGCCTCCACGGTGACACAACAATATTTCTTGAGTCCTCTGCTCGGGTGTGGTTGTACTTTGCTTAGTCATGGCTACTTGCTTAGGTAATTTACAAATGTAAGCGTTTTTTGACTATTGTGTTGCCTGCACTGCGACTGTCACCCCAGTTAACACGTCAGCTAAAACGTAAAGTGTGATATACAGCATATTGAGCCTTTTTTTTTTCCCTTCTTTTTGGCAGGCTCACTCACTTACTCACATACACACCCCAAATGTTTTTTTTGGAGTACACAGCAGTTTGACTGGATTTATGCACATTCAGGCTGTGGAGGTTGTTTTTTTTGTTGTTGTTGTTGTTTTCATGCCCATCATTCGGTGCAGTTGAGCAGCGGCGAATGCGCCCGCAACAAAACAAAAGGTCATAAATCAATGTGCAAAAACAATAGAACATCTGTGCTTGCAGGTGTGGCAGATATGTTGGCGTTCGCATGGCGGCGGGATCATATGTGTGTTTGTAGGACGTGTTTGCGTGTGTGTTTGTGTGTGTGTGTGTGTGTGTCGCTGAGGCTGGATGACAAAGAGATTCTCATGTAGCCAGTTGACATTTTAGCTCAGCTATGACTCACAGGGATATCACCCCATATCAATCACATGAACACTCACACACAGCCCTTTCTTAATCCACCATTATTGTTCCTTCTCTCCCCATCTTCTTTTCTCCCCACTCTCGTCTGTCTTTTCTTTCTCTCCCTGATTCATACTTCTTCTCCCATCCCCCTCTCATCCTCTCGTACCCTCCCGCCGTCTATTATTCACTAATTTTCTTTCATTCGCTCCTTCTCTCCCTTTTTTTTTTCTCTCTCCTGCAGTGTTGCCAGTTGGCAGAGTGCCAGGGAATGCTGATATCAGCTGGTAGATTGGGCCCTGCCAACATGGCGAAGAGCAAGGGAGGAAAAAAAATGAGAAAGGAGGCAGACGCGGAGAAAGAGAAGAGGCAGACGGAGAGAAATATACAAACAGGGCAGCTTCAGAACAACATTGTCAGAGGCCATGGGAATGAAAATGACTTAATTTGATTGTCAACATAGTGTTGCAGGGTGGGGTGTGTGTGTGTGTGTGAGGGGGGGGTGGGGGTTAAAAAAGACAGGCATGTTGGAACAGAGGTTAGTAGAGAGTGCCACAATAACATAAAGAGATGTTATGCTCTTGAAAAATAAACAGCAATTATACAGATAAAAATGAGCAGAAGGACAGAAAGCAAAAAAAAAAAAAAACGAAAGAAAGCCTGTATGTGTGGCTGTCTCTGCAGTTTTAGCTCTGATGCTATTATCATATGAATATCAGCATCGCGGCGCATTGTTCCGCCGTGACGGCGGCTGTCGCCAACCACCGGTCCCTGTCATGCCAATGAAGAAAATTTGGATAGATGGAGAGCGGGCGATAAGGTGCAGCAAAGGATGCAGGGAAGAGGGGGAGGAGAGAGGAGGAAAGGAAAGAAGAGGGGAGGGCCGGGGCCGGCGGAGGGGCAGAAATCAGATTGGAATCGGGTGGAGCAGAGACAGAAACAACAAAAGGTGCAAATGAACCAAGGAATGTGCAGAGGAATGGGTGGGGTGGGGGGGGAGTAAAGCGCCTCCAGACGTGGTCAAGAGGCACATTTATTCATCTTATAGGTTCATATAGGAGACGCTCTCCAAGTGGAGGCTGTAATCCCCCCCTACCCCCTCAAAAAAAAAAAAAAAAATCCAGCTAACCGCCAAGGTAGACGGACAATTACAGGAGAAATCAGACTTAAAATGTGTGTTTAATGGGATCTATGTTGATTTTAACAGTAGGATGTAGGTCTGTCATGATAATAACATTTTCCTGGACAATGAATTGTCCCAGAAGTTATCGCGATAAATGATGATATTGTCGTTTTGAGACCATTTTCAATTAAAATAACGACGAGGACATAATAATGCTAGAACAAAGATTTATAAACTTTAAATTCAGATGAACATTTAACCCTGGAAGTTGTTTTACATGTCCAAAATAAACAAACAAAAACAACAGAAACAATAAATAAAATTAATTGTGAAGTCTTCTTCAAAAAAGAGACTTTAATTTATCATGAGATCAGTTGATTTATTGATTTATTGATTTATTGATTATTGCGGCAGGCCTGGTCGGGTGACAACAATCTTTTTTTGTTTCATTTTATTTATTCACATTAAAGTGACACATAATTTTGAAGTGCAAAAATGCAAAAAATAAATAAAAAATCTGAAAGGTGTGGCGCACATATATATTTCGGAGTACTGATTCTGATACCCATAAATAAAATCAAATGACCAAAATGAAACATTCTGGCCTCATGCAAAATGCTACATGTGGTGGAAAATTAATCTATCCACACACACACACACACATATATGCACACATGCATATACACCATATCTACAGTGAAACATGGTGGTGGCAGCATCATGCAGGGAAATGGAGATAAATGCAGGATCATTTTAGAGAAATGCAGTGAGAGGCTGCAAAGATAAGTAACTGGGCTTCACCTTCCAGCAAATTATATTCAGCATCGCTATCTCAACTCTTTGCTGGGTTAATGGTGTAATTTCAGCCTAAAATCTTTAGAGGCATGCTGGGTAAAATGATCCCCACATCATGATGCTGTCACCACCATGTGTCAAGAAGGGTTGGTGTGTTTAGGAGAGGGACACAGGATTAGATTTCCTCCACATAAGACTTAAAGTGTTGGTCAAAACTTCTGTTTTGGTTACATCAACCCAGTACACAGCTTGTGGCCTGTAATTGATCTCTTCTTGACTCTTTTCCATGATGGTGTGTTGCTAATTGCAAATAGTTCACAACTGAGTTTAATTTTGGGGTATCGGAATGAGGCGAGGCTATCACAAATGTGCACCACAAACTTTTTATTTGACAATTACGAGCTAATTTTCGGTCAACCCCATAAGTCCAAAGAAATACACTAAGGGTTGTATTAGTAGAGCAACAGAATGTGAAAAATATCAGGGATTCAGGGATGTCCAACGTGAGACCCAGGACACATTTGCGACCCTCTGAAAGATTTTGCGCGGCCTCCCACCGGAATTCCAGAATGAACTTCGTCTACAGAAGCAATCAGGTCCCTATGCCTAACATTTTGTTTGCTTCAATAAAACCTTGCACATTTTGCTTGTTATTGAGCAGATAAAGATAAAAATAAAGCTAATTTATCACATTTCTGATGAGGGGGAAAAAAAAGAAACGGTTCCTGTGGCCCACAGCTGAATAACAACGCTTTTGTAGAGGATGTGGATACTTTTGCAAGGTACCGTACCCGGTACAAAGACTGGGGGAGAGAAGGGGATTTCACACTCTTGTAGATCTTTCTCTTCACTGACAAATTCCCAGCATTCATGTGGGAGTGTAATGACACAAGGTAATGACAGCTTAAAAGCGCCGGTGCTGCCGGTTTAAGCAGCGCAGTGATGTTGTCATTACAGTAATTGCGGCGTAACTTTGTGGGCAATGAGGTAACTGATGACCCCCCCCCACCCTCCCCAACCTATCACCACCACCATCACCACCGCCCTTGGTCTAAAAAATTGGAGCGTATTTGCATGGTTTAAATAGTGATAACCCCTCTTGACTTGAAAGTTGCGCGCGGAGAAAAGGAGGTTGCTGAGTCATACATCACATCCCTGGTAAATAGTTGCCAAAAGGAGCGAGAGGGCAATATGTTCTGACAAGTTTATTTTGGGGAGGTTTTGATGACACTGTCTAAATACCAACAGTATTACAGAGAAGGCGGCAAGCGCGGGTTTGTACATGTCAGCAAGCTCCGCATTGTGAATGTAAATATCAGGGTGTGAGAGCATTTCACTTTTCTATTTTTTTTTTTTTTTTTTTTCAAAGGCTGTGGGGAGGAAGTGCAAAATCAGCTCAGCTTTCCTTTAATGTGTGTCATTTTGAGAGGGCTTGGATAATGTTATCCATCGTTTATGGCCAAATAACGGTTTATGCGATTGTCTCTGTGACCTCCCGTTGTTTTAATGTAAAATAGTGATTGGTAAAAGGCAGAAACAGGCCTGAGCACAGAGATTACACCCGGTGGTGTCAAACGGTACGGGAATTCAAACAGATTTCCTTTGAGCTTTGGGTTTTTTCTCCCAGTCAAATGCTTCAGATCAGAAACATAATTTTAGTATTGAGCAAAGATAACTTGAGTACATACAGAGCAGATTTCAAATGATTGTAATCTAACTGAAGAAAGGGAGGGTAAATCTGGCCATATGT